AAATGGTCAAACAATTCAGTTCTGACATACAGATCAGCAGGAGATGTTCAAAAATGATCATTTACCTGTATGAAGGGCAAAATAAATAATGGGAAAGTCTGTGTGTCAAGCAAGGCATCAAGCTGGTCCACCGCGAATCGTCGAATAATGGGATCCATACATCTAAGAATTAACATACGATAAAGTAGTGCATAAGGATTTTGATGCAACATTTTCCTGACCAAGTTTGACTATCATTCAGATCTCAGTGGTTGCTTTGCAGATGTCAACCGGGTCACTGTTTACGAGAAGCTTATCTATTTCTGCTAAACTTACTTTTTTCCTAGAATAGACAAGGCTGTTCCGACCGTGAGTCGACCCCAGTTTTCCAGCATCACGTAAAGTTCGGTGAAGTGTTCGCGTTTCTTCCACGTCTCTCCGGCTTCAGCTATTACGAGCAGAGCATCGGGTATGTTTTGACACACGTAATGCCTAAATTAAGGCTTGTATATATTCAGCAGTCCAAATGCTACAAAGATGTATTTGTTACAAATATGATTTAAAAAAAAAAGATAAAACATTGAGAAAGGTCTACCTCTGACTCCACACAAACAGCTCCTCTTCCTCGGACACTATTTTACCAAGTAGACGCTTCCTTATCGTATCTAATATTCTTCTTATGGTAAACTCATCAGAGCGCTGAAAAAGAACATCAGCAGCGGCATAAAATGGAACAAAAAAATGACTTACAACTTTTGCTGATTTTTCAATAGAATAAATAAATTTTACGAATGGGGCAAATTTACTGCTATCCGGTATCTTCACCCGAGAACGGTACCGTGCTAGTTCGATCATTAGACGACATTTTGAACCTGAGCGACAGGTGATGCTTCCTTCTCAACAACATGAAAAAACTACCTTGCTTATGTTCATTACTCCCTATGCGTCCATGAGGAGGATATTGCGGCTCTCCGCCCCACAAATTCAGTGTAAGCACGCCTTGTAACAATTCTCCACGCCAGTCAAGCAATCTGATATTCGCCCAACCCAAAACTCGATCTTCCGGCTGAAAAACGAACAAAGCGGACGTGAAGTAAGCATGGATCACAAAGAAAGTGGAACCAACCTTTCCTTTCCTCACTTTCGTCTCCACCAAATGCACAGTTAGAATAGCAGCCAAAGGCAAGTCTTTCATGTACAAATCAAATGAAATCATTTCCTACAACGTTAAATCACTGATTAAAGGGTTAACAGGAAAGAAAGGAACTGTACCTCAACCCAACGCGGATTGTGGCTTGGCACTTTGCTAGAAGCTTTATGTACCAAACAAGTCTTACCACAATACACACTGAATTCGACACTGATCTGTAAAGAAGTATGGCACTTTTAGCAACTGACAGTTATGGATCAAAGTGGGTGCTAACCCTTAATGGAAACTGCAGCAAAATTGTGCTCAGAACAATTGAAAAGGCAGGGGCTCGGCGATTCTCCACTTGAAGTTTTTTT